AGACAATAACAAAAATTTAAGGTTTCTTGAAAGCAAGCAATAATATTCAATCGTATGTCCAATCTTACATAACTATATCTATTGATCTGAGTAACAGATTTGACAATAAAAATAGATAATATATTTGCCACTGTTAATCAGCTACTCTTGTTTTGAAAATCTGTAATATATGTATTGTATGTTACACTATTTCTGTTGTTTCTGATTTTTGTTCTTGCTTTTATTTTTACTCTTCAAAATAAAATTAAATTAAATTTAAAAATAAAAAAAAAATGAATAGAAGTTGCGGCCAGGGAGATAGCTCAGTAGAATAAATGCTTGCCTGGCAAGCACAAGGGCCTGAGTTCAATACCCAGTTTTGCAAAAAAAAAAAAAAAAAAAAAAAAAAAAAAAAGAAGTCACTGAAGTTCCATAGATGAAAATTATGTGAATTAAATAAATTGTTTAAAGCACTTATCGTGAAAAAAATTAAGAATTTCTGTTCTTTGAAAGCCACTGTTGGGCCAGGGCAGACGGCTCAGCAGTATAAGTGCTTGCCTGGCAAGTTCAAGGTCCTGAGTTTGATCCCCAGTAAAAAAAAAATAAAAATAATAAGTATCTGATAAGAGTAGGATATCCAGAACATATTAAAAAAAAAAAAACCACAATGGAGTATTATTTAGCCAGAAAGAAGAACAAAACCAGGCCATTTTATTTATTTATTTATTTTTGGCGGAACTGGGGATTGAACTCAGGCCTTTGCGCTTGCCAGGCAAGCGCTTATCCTACTGAGCATCTCCCCGGCCCCTCGTGTCATTTTAGAAGAGTGGATGGAACTGGATGGTCATATCAAGAAAAACAGGAATCTAGAGTTGGGGGAGGGGTGACAGGACAGTAGAAGGAAGACTAGGAGAGATGAGGAAGGGGACGGGGAAGGGGGACGGGAGGGGGGGAGGAAGGACAGGGCAAGTGAGCAGGGCATGTCATGCCCAGATATGTGCTCCACAGCTACGCAGCCCAACCATTGTTCTGGTTGCTTTTGACTTGTGCTGTTTTCTTTTTGAAACAGGGTCTTGCTGTATATATAGCAGGCTGCCCCTGCACTAACTATTTTGGTTCTTTTTTTCTTTTTTGCAGAACCGGGGATTGAACTCAGGCCCTGGTGCTTGCCAGGCAAGTGCTTATTCTACTGAGCCATCTCCCCGGCTGCACTAATTAATTAGACCAGGCTGGCCTTGAACACCACGCCTGGCTGAAATTTTCTACAATTATGATTATTGGTACATTTTAGATATACATAATGATCACAGTCATCAGAGGGAATTTGTACCTGTATATGATACAAATTGATTTTTCTTTTCTCCCTTCAACCCCTCTTCCCCTTCTTATTTATGAAAGCTTTGTTTCAATTTTTCCTCTATTCTTTTTTCTTGTCCTTTCTTTCCCTTCCCCACCCCCTCCTGTGTTCTCTCTCTCTCTCTCTCTCTCTCTCTCTCTCTCTCTCTCTCTCTCTCTCTCTCTCTCTCTCTCTCTCTCTCTCCCTCTCCCTCTTTTGGCGGAACCAGGGATTGAACTCAGGTCCTTCCACTTGCCAGCGTAGTGCTTATTCCACTGAGCCATCTCCCCAACCCCTTCTCTTCTTTTTTTTTTTTTTTTTTTTTTGTGGAACTGGGGATTGAACTCAGGCCCTTCCACTTGCCAGGCAAGCACTTATTCTATTGAGCTATCTCCCCAGCCCCTCTTCCTTCTTATTTGACTATTTTCTTCCCATTTCCCAATGTCTATTATATATTTTGAAGACTACAATGAATTACTACTATTCCTACTACTTAAATAGTTAAATTTAAAAGATGGGGGCCAGGGGCCGGGGAGATAGCTCAGTGGAATGAGTGACTGCCTGGCAAGCACAAGGTCCTGAGTTCGATTCCCGGTACCAAAAGAAAAAAACAAAGATGACTGACTGCACCAAATCTGGAGAAGACAGACTTCTCATTCATTGCTGGTGGGGCCATAAGCTGGTAAAACCACTTGGTTTACTTTGGACAGTTTCTTAATGAGTGAAACATGGTCACAGCGTGCAATCCATTCTACTTCTAGTATCTACTTGAGAGAACTGAAAGCCTCTCTGCACGGATGTGCATCAGTGTTTGATTTATTTTTTCTTTCATTTTTTGTGGCCAGCTCAGCCCACCCTGGGGGTGAGGCTTATGCTGGCGATTGGACCGTGGTCCCTGCTCTTGCCTAAGCTGCCTAAGCAGGTGCTTTAGTCTGCTGAGCTATCTCACCGGCCCCAGTGTTTGAATTATATAGCGAAATCTGGAAACAAGGGCTGGGTGTATCACTCAGAGGTCCTGGGCCACAAAGAAACAAGCAAACAAAATTGGAAATGACCCATAGATCCACAAATACATGAATAGATAAAGACACCACCAAACCCAGACAATGGCACACAACTCCACAACAGCAAGGACAAAGAACTCACAGGGGTGACAAATGATTTGCAGAATAATCACACTGAGGCAAAGAAGCCAGACCAAAGCAACATCTGCTTCAGGAGTCCACTGAGGGAAGTGTTGCAGGGAATGCAAATGAATCCGCAGAGACAGCGAAGGCTGTGGGAGGGGAGAGGTGTGCAAGAAGGAATGAGGGTGGCAGGGACCCAGGCGGGCGCAGGGGACCAGCCTGTACCCCAGTGTGGGGAGGTTCTCCAGTACAGACTTATGAGAGGTGATTGAAAAATACAGTGGTTGGGTCAGGGAGATGGCTCAGTAGGATAAGCGCTTGACTGGCAAACACAAGGATCTGAGTTCAATCCCTGGTTCCACCAAAGAGAGAGAGAGAGAGAGAGAGA